GCCTGATTGCCAGCCAGGCCTAGGGACCCCACCCCTGCACAAATTCGTGCACCAGGCCTCTAGTTTAGTTATAATTTTGATCCGGTGGTGGGAGGATTTGAGTACCACATTTTTTGGACTTAGAAGTCTATATTTGGGCACATATCCTTAGGTGTGGTAGGCAGAACTTACATGACAATAGGGATTTTACAGATATGTTAAGGACCCTAAAAAGAGAAGATTATCCTGGGTTACACAGATAGGCACAATGTCATCACAAGAAGGATGGACAAGGATTAAAGTCAGAGAAGTAGATGTAATGAGGGATGGAGAGGTCAGAGACAAAGACTGGAAGATGTTACACTTCTGGCTTTGAAAAAAATTCAAGCTATTCCAAGTGAAAACAGAAAGCTATAATTTATTATAATATTCATGGGCATATGTAGAATTAATATTGAAAAGATATAATCTAAATCCTCAACAGTTTATTACTACAGAGCATCATATGATTTTTATTTTTAAATTCCTTTTTACCTGTATAGCATCAGTATTTCCCAGTAGACCATAATCTCTGGACGAAAAGAAAACGGTTGTCCTGTTAATGCTGCATCCCCAGCACAGTAACTGACATAGAAACCACCAATAATAACGCTCTGAATGAATAAATGTATGTTTTCAATATTTCCCAATTTATTGTTTTTTAATTTATCTTTATTGTTGAAAGTATTACAGATGTCTCATTTGTTTGTTTTTTCCCATTGACTCCGTCCACCCCACACCCATCCCTCCCAGGCCTTCACCACACTATTGTCTGTGTCTATGGGTTATGCATACATGCATATGTTTCCCAGTTACTCTCTCCCCATCCCACCCCCGACCCTGCCTTCCCTCTGAAATTCGTCAGTCTGTTCCATGCTTCTATGTCTCTAGATCTATATTGTTCATTAGATTCCACATGTGAGTGAGATCATGTGATACATGTCTTTCTCTGACTGGCTTATTTCAGTTAGCATAATACTTTCCAGATCCATCCATTCTGTTGCAAATGGTAAGAATTCCTTCTTTTTTACTGCTGTAAATGTACCACAACTTTTTTTATCCAAGTAACCCATTGGCACTTGGGCTGTTTCCAAATCCTAGCTATTGCAAATTGTGCTGCTATGAACATAGGGCTGCATATATTCTTTCTGATTGGTGTTTTGGGTTTCTTAAGATATATTCCTAGAAGTGAGATCATTGGGTCAAATGGGAGTTCCATTTTTAATTTTTTGAGGAAACTCCATACTGATTTCCACCGTGGCTGCACCAGTCTGCATTCCCACCAGCAGTGTACCAGGGTTCCCTTTCTAAGTGTATCATACAAGACAAAAAGAATATAAATGTAAAATGGCATTTTTAAATATTCAACTTCACTAATAATCAAAAAGTTAAAATAATTTCACCTAATAAATTATGTCAGTTTAAATGTTATATTAGCATATTTATGGTAACACAATTTATTGGATATATCCTTTAAAATATAAGTTGACAATATCAACTTTTAAAATGTCCATGCTCTATAACTAATGTACTCATTCAACAAATGTTTATTGAGCATCCACTATGCAACAATCACTATTCTAGGTGCCGAGAATATAGCAGTGAACAACATGGGAAATAAGCAAATCCCACACAGAACAAACAAAAATATCTCCACCCTCAAGGAGCTTACATTTTAGAAGGGGAGGTAGTTGATTAAAAACATAAACAAGTAAAATACATAGTATAATAGGCAGCAATACATGCTAAGAGGAAAATAAAACAATAAGGGGGATAGGCAGAATGGGCAGAGACTGCAGTTTTCTATAGCGGTCTGAGAAGATGATATTGAAGACAGCAATGGAATACTCCATGGCCATAAAAAAAGAAAATCTTACCTTTTGTGACAGCATGGATGGACATGGAGATAATTATGCTAAGTGAAATAAGCCAGTCAGAGAAAGACTTATATGTGGGATGTAATGAACAAAATAAACGGATGAACTAAATAGAAACAGAGGCATGAATACATGGAACTGACTGAGAGCTGTCAGAGGGGAGAGGGAGGGTGGACTGGATGAAAGGTGAAGGGATTAGCCAAAGAACATATATGTGTAACCCATGGACACAGACAACAGTGTGGTGATGGACAGAGGGAAGGGGGTCAGGGTCTGGGTAGAGGTGGGTAAAGGAGGGGGAGGGAAATGGGGACATCTGTAATAATGTCAACAATAACAATAAAGTAATAACATAAAATAAAGACAAGGGACTAGTCGTGTGGCTCTCTAGGGACAGCATTCCAGACAGAGGGAACAGCAAGTACAATGGCCCTGTGGCTCAGATGTTCTTGGTGTGTTTACTGGTAGCAGGGAGACCATCAGCCCTAATCCACTCTCAAGGAGTTAATATTGGTAATAGGACAATGTGCACCTTCCCAACCTTTTTCTAAGATCAAACTATACACACACACACACACACACACACACATGCTGTATGTATGTGTCCAAATATGAAACAACTGGAATAAAAGTCAATCCGCCATCATTTTCCCTATGAGAAAATCCAAATATGATTTATGAACATTTTCATTATAAATGATGAAAGAATATAGCTGAAATATTCAAGTAATGTCATATTATGTAACATTAATTTAGCACAGAGGCAGCAGGAAGGCTCTGTGGATCACAGGGTCAGCCAAGGAAAGCTACTCTGAAGAGGCCACATACGAACCAAGACATGGAAAATGAAATGCATCTGCTTTGGAGAAGTCTGGGGTTAAGGCACTGTGGATAGATAGAGACTATAGCAAAGGCCAGAATGCAGCAGGAACATGAGGGTCTGAGAATATAGACAAAGAAGGCCAATGTGCCTGAAAAGGAGAACCAGCGGCAGGCAGACGCCAGATGTCACAGGCCTAGTGAGAATATGGGACTGTGATTCTAACCTCAAATGGAAGCCAGGTAAGCAAGAAGTGGCATGATCCCGTTTACTTTGCAAAAAGATCATTCTGTTACTATGTGGAGAAAGAATGGAGTGAGAAAGCAGAGTGGAGGCAGGGGGGCAGTGAGGAAATTACTTCAATATTTTAAATAAGAGAAAGTATAGCTTAGGCTCACAATGGTGGCAATGAAAACAGAAATACATATGTGTACAAATTCAGGTTGCATTGGCTGACAGGAGAGAAAAATATGTAAGTGTTTCATTAATAAAAAAAATTAAAATTATGCAATTGCCCCTATCAAATTAGCAAAAGTTAAAACTGGATAATACCAATTCTGAAGACTGTGTAGTTCATAAACCTCTGAAGAGCAATTAGTTATTATTATCAAAAGCCTTAAAAATATTCTCATAATTTTCGACTTAGTAACTGGCACAAAATCAAGTCTTTTGTTGTTGAATGAATTAATTCAACTTTTAGAAAACATGCTTAACGAGAAAATCAGGATTTGTGCTCCAGGACATAACGAGCACATTTATCCTTGCAATACCCAACACTTACGGAGTGGCTTAACGACAGCGTATGGTGAAGTACTGAGCAACATTTAAAATAGCGTTTCAAGATCTGAGGGAAAACTAACTAAGGAAGCAAATTGTACTGGAGTTTTGTTTACATGCTGGCAAGTTTTTTTTTTTTAATATATTTTATTGATTTTTTACAGAGAGGAAGGGAGAGGGATAGAGAATCAGAAACATTGATGAGAGAGAAACATCGATCAGCTGCTCCTGCACATCTCCCACTGGGGATGTGCCCGCAACCAAGGTACATGCCCTTGACCGGAACCGAACCCGGGACCCTTCAGTCCGCAGGCTGAGGCTCCATCCACTGAGTCAAACCGATTTCGGCAACTGGCAAGTTTTGATATGACAACTGAACAGGGGAGAGCTAGCAAATAATTGGTAATAAAAATTTAACAATAATCTAGTCTAAAATCAAATCAATGCATATTTTCAGAAAACTTACATGCTCAACTCACTCCACACTGTCTGTACCTTACACTATTCAGCCTCTTGTTACCCTTGGTACTAAAAAAGGAAGCAGGGACGTTTCAGTTTTGTGGTTGTCTTGGTAATTTAAGTATAAACATGCACAAAGTCTATTTGTCTCTCTGTCTCCAGTGCCCAGCACAGGACCTGGCACAGAACAGGGACTTGCTCAATCCATCTTTTTTTTGGAGTGAAAATCACAAAAAAACAAACCCCAACCTTTTCAGTCCCAACTTAGCACCGAAAATTTTAAAACGTCAAACTGGAAGAGGTCCATAAAAGCTACAGTGCTAATAGTAATTGATAATATTGTGAGCGGCTACAATCTACCAGGCATTATTAAACTGTATGCTCCCTCTCTTCACTCCTCACATTAATCCTTCTCTGAAAGAATTACTTTGCACATTTTAAAGCCAGGGAACAGGTTCAAAAATGGTAAAGAACCAGCCCAAGGTCACAGAGCAACTGAGTTCCAACTCGACCCCTCTCGCGCCTAAACGCACCTACACTCGATGCACCACGAAGGGTGTGGCTTCTCGGTGATGGGAAGGGACCCGCTCTCGGGGTTCACTGTTTCTACCGGGAACCGCAGTGATCCCCTAGAGCCCCGGGTCACCAGGGAGACCAGACCGGGCCAGCGACCGCCCCTCCCCACGGGGACTTCCGGGGCCAGGACCCTCTTCCCCCGCCGCTCGGCGCTGCCACACTGGGCCTGGGCGTCGGCACCGGCCGGGGGCTCGCCCCTCCGCCCCGGGGGTTCCCTGTAGGATGACTCAGAGCCCAGCCTGGAGGATCAGGACCCAGGAACGGAGCTCTCTAAGGTTCGGGGCAGGAAGAGGAGTCTCCACCTCAGAGCAGCGGGAGGCGGCGGCCCGCAGGCGCTGTTTCCAGGACAACCTAGGCCCCCACCCCCCGCCTCCCAGTGTCTCCGCCCCCGGCGTCTCGCCGCTCCTCCCCTCGCTGGAGCCAGAGCTCCGAGCAGCGCCCGGCGGGAATGGAGGCGCTCGGTGCACTCTCACCTCTCAGCGCCTGGTGCATGCCCCCCACGCCGCTGTACAGCTCCAGCACCCGCAGGGGTTCCATTCCCGCGCCGCCACCGCCACCCCGGAACTAGGCCTGCCGGTCCCCCAGCTTCTCCTCCCTCCGCCGGCGCTGCGCCCTGGCCTCGGGTTCCGCGGCTTTTCAGTTCCGCCCCTTCCTGCAGCTCAGGCTCAGGGCTTCACCTGGCAGCTGGGGCCTGGGACTGGAGGGGCCGACAGGGGACACAGGGCATGGAACATGAGGTCTCACCAGTGAATAGCAGCCGCTCTGTGGTCTCATGTGCGCTTCGTCACCCTTCTAAGTGTTTTCTAGGGCCTTGGGAGGGAAGAAATCTGGAGCTCAGTGGTTGGGCAAAGTTTGCCTTTGCCTCAAAATCATTGGAATCCAGAAAACTCACTTTTCAGGCATGCCGCTTCTCCAGAAGTCCCTCGAACGCCTGAATTGTCCCACCTTTTCCCATTAGCCTGGAGCACCTAACACGTGCTTGGGTCATGGCGATAAATCTGACCGGCCTCTTCCCCAGAGAAGGTCCCAGAGTTACACATAGGGAAGTAGCACCTGTGCAGCAGAGCCCTGGTGCCTGCTATCATTGTTAGGGGCGCTACTTATATTTTAGCTTGGAAAACACCCCTCCATAGGATATGCGATCAGTGCAATATGGGACTATTTATGGTCCTCCAAGGGCTAGGGCCTTGCTTCTCCAGGATGGTCCAGTGACCAAATTACTATAAATTGGATTACAGACCAAGAAAGAAAAAAAGGCTATATGCCAGAGAGGCAATGTTCTCATTATGAAGTGTCCCTGTGTTGTTCCCATTACCGCCTCGGGTCTTGTAAGAAAAAATTAGGGAGGACCACTTGTACTAAGGTAACTGATTTCTCAGAAACTAGTGTTATCTGAATTACAGAACTGTCTGATCCACACTGATGTGTCCTATGAATGTTTAAATTGTAAAAGTGTATTATACTTCAAATGTTTTGCATTTATTGGTCACTTATTTCAGATAAGAAGGGTTTCGTGGTAGAAAGATAGCAGAGACCTGAGGTTAGCCCTGGCATTGCCAATAACTTGTTGTGTGTGACTCTGCACTGAGCCTGGTTTCTTCATCTGTATCATGAAGAGGAAGGAAGAAAGGGAAATGATTGCTGAGGGCCATGCAGCTTCAAGGAAGGTCCTGTAGCTGACTCAGTACTTGCAAAGGAGGTCCTGATTGGGCCACACGTTAATTATCCGCTCAAATTGAAATGATCTAGAAAGGAGACATTTCAAAAATCTGCTTTAAGCAAATGTACTCTTAAACCAACTCACAGAAATCATGCACACACTAACATCATATATGATGCATGAAGCAAACTTTTCTAATATGTATTACATAATATTAGTGCCGTAAATAGATATCATGCCATATACAGTCAATAATCAACACATTAAATAAATCTAGAATCTGTTTAGCATTAGTGCTATAAATCAAAATAAATATGACCAAGGATCTTACCCTGGAGGGGAGAGACAGGACAGAAATATGTGGAAGAGTTCATGAAAAATACCAACCTCCTGGGAGAACAGGAGGTAGAATCTCATCCCCACACAGGCTGGTTACAGACGGTTCACTCTGATATTGTGAAGAGTCTTCACAGTAGAACCCCAGACTTACCTTTGTTAACTTTGCTTTCACCCTTCTTGAACTCCAACTCCACTGTAAATCAGACGGCTCAGCATTCCCCAAGCACCATTTCCTACTTATATTCTTTACTGGCCTAGAATTCTTCAAGATCCACACTTCAAGTGGAACCTTCCTTCCAGATCCCCAGGCTAGGCACCCCCGCTTGTTTCAGTTCCTTAATCCACCCCATCCAATTCTCTGAAATACAGATTCCACCTGCCCCTATCACCACTCCTTTCAGTTCTCTTTAGCCCGGTTTTGACTTCCTACTAATATATGCCACATAATTTCTTTACACAGTATTTCTTCTCTAAAAACTATCGTGTGTGCTAGTCATTTCAAGAATATAAACTTCTCCACAATCATAATTTACAACTATCTCCATAGAAGATAGTTGTAGATGTTAGGTCCCTTGGCTTATGTGTGCGTTCTCTTCCAACCACTTGCACAAGTTTTGTGAGTTGAGGGTGGGAGGAATGCCCCAATCAGGAGTAGTTGAGGAGGAATATAGGATGGGCAGATAAATGTTAAAAGAAGATATATATTGATACTCAGTATCCTTTTTAAAAATACAAATATCAAAACGTGGACTTCAGGATATTCAGTGCATTTTCCTTCAAAACAGAGAAACATGCCTGGCCAGTATAGCTCAGTGGATGAGCATCAACCTAGGAAACAGGAGGTCAAGATTTGATTCCCAGTCAGGGCACATGCCCAGGTTGCAGGCTCAATCCTCAGTGTGAGGAGTGCAGGAGGCTGCCAATCAATGTCTCTCTCATCATTGGTGTTTCTACCTCTCTCTCCCTCTCCCTTCCTCTCTGAAATCAATAAAATATATATTTTTAAAACACACACACAAAGAGAAAACACACTTGTAAAAAAATGCTTCTCATGCACTGGCTAGGTGGTTCGGTTGGAGCAGCAGCCCATGCAGGTTTGATTCTCAGGTAGGCACATACCTAGGTTTCAGGTTCGATCCCTGATCGGGGTGGGCATAGGAGGTAACTGATCAATGTTTATCTCTCTCTCTCTCTCTCTCTCTCTCTCTCTCTCTCTCTCTCTCTCTCTCTCTCTCTTCAGATGAGGATTTTTAAAAATGCTATTTATCACCTGGCACATGTGAAATATATTAGAAATAATTAAAGGTTACAATATAATTCTAAGGATTATATCAAAATGATAATAGCATACTCAGTTATTTAAGGGATCATTATTAACTTGAAATCTAATAATATTCTATTCTTCCTCTCCTGTGTTTCTCTGGTCATTAATATCTAACTAAATTAAAGTCTGTCAAATGCTTAACATACTTTTTGACATCATTTTTGAGGTTCCATGATCCTGGCAATTTTTTATTCCTCTGTGAAACATGAGGTGGATTCCTATACAGGCTCACCCACAGGTAGAGTATACCCTCTTATGCCAATTGGAATAATGAATAAATTGCATTCTGGTTTTACATGGGAAAAAGTGGTCATTATGAATTACATGGAAAAAATTTTAAAAGTAGTCATATGGGAGTAAATTGGCAAAAATGTCCTCAGGAGAGGAAATTACATTCAGAAGAAACTTGAACTGGAAAGGCCCGGAGTGCTCATCTGCCACTTGTGAGTTCCACTTATTCTAGATGCCTTTTACGGTGTTTCTGCTCAGCCAGCACCAGTCCTTGGTTGGTGAGCTGCTAATGAGATGCCCAGAGTACTTCACAGGGTGGGGTGGTGGTGAAGGGCTTGAATTACTAAAAATTCTTCTTTAAAGTGACCTAAAATCCAGTTCCTTCGAGATTTGCCCTCTGTACTTATTGTGAAGAACTCTCTGTGTTCTGTAAGGAATTATGTTGCGGTTAAAACTGCAAGCTTCAGAGTCAAAGAGTGTAAACAGGAATCATAAATCTGCTGCTTCCTAACTTGGTGACTTGGGGAACGTCACCCAACCTCTCTGAGACTAGCAACATCTGCAACGTGTAGAACTAGGACACGCGGTTGCTATAAGGATTATGTGAAAATTAAAGCAGTTAGCCCAGTGCCTAGCCCTAGCACAATATACATGCATGTTTTATAAATAGTATCTATGTAATAACATTCTCTGAGTGATGCGCTCTCAGTCCCGTCAGCTGTGCCATGTGGCATGACTGATCCCTGGGGTCAATCACAGTTTGGTGATGCCCATTTTAGGAGCCGTAACTGAACACTGGGCCTTAACAAGGTCAGATCATCAGGCTACAGAGTGGCCCAGATGGCACAGGCATCAAAGGCCCTAGGCGAGCTGGTGGGAGGAGGAGCCTGCCCGGAGCAGAGTGAAGGAAAGGCTGGAAGTCCGGAAGCCATAGGCACGACTGAAGGGGTGCTGAGCGTAGACGCATCGCAAGTCAGAAGGCAGCAGCACACGGCGGGAGAGACAAACGCCTAGCTCTTAACTCCCAGAAAGGCCAGGGGAGCTGTGAAAGGTGGGTGTACAGGCCTGGCAGTCTTAGGGCAAAATTGTCCAAGTGACCTTAAAAGCAGGATGTATGAGCTGGGAGACCTGGGGTAGAGGTGAGGGCGAACCTATCAGTATCATCCAATCATTTATTGATTTTTTTTCTTGTGCTGGGCACAGAAGAAACTTTTAATCAAAACAACTTTAAAAGTGTAAAACTCTATACTCTATTTCTGACCATAAAGGAGCCAATAATAATAATAATAATAGTAATAATAATAATAAAAACAATTTAATACTTTCTACTTCCAAAGCATAGCACTATTTTTAAATTTTCAAAAATAAATAAAAATTTCATTGATTCTCTAGAGCTCCATTGTCCATCGGGTAGCCTCTGGACACATTTGGTGATCTGAGTTTAATTAACTTGCAAAATTTAGCTCAGCAGTCACACTGGGCACCTTTCAAGCGTCCAATGGCCGCCATGGCTGTTGGCGACTGTGCTGCTCCGCAAGGAGAGAGGACGTTCCCATCACCACAGGAAGCCCTGCTGGACGGAGGTGCTGGAGAGGGGCAGTCTCTGCACGTTATGACCCTCCTGGGTAGCCCATCATTCCATGAACAGCAATTGCTCAATTATTGCATATTGGACCTGATTTAAAGCAAGTGCCCCAAAAATACGGAGTGAAAGGGACCCACATAAAAGCAGACCTTGTAGCCAAAGATTCGTCTTTTTTCTCTGGTGTCCAGTCATCTTGTTCATAGGCTGTCACGGGGGAAAAGAAACAGGAGACAGTGGATGTGTTCTCTCAATGACATGATAAACTTCCAGGAGAAAAAGAGCAGACGGAAAAGGACGCATCTCGTGGTGTCTTAGAGGAGAACTTTCCTGTTGTGAGGTAAAGTCTAGTGACTTTTGGTTGTGAATACTCTCTACACTTACCTCTAAAGAAGAAAAAGAATAATTTTTAATTGGAATCAAGAGGAGCAGAATTATAGGCTTTCTGATGAAAAGCATGGCCACCATGAAGTTTGTCGTGTAGCTTGCCATTTCAAGAAGTACTCAAAGATTTTGACACTGATTTTTCTCTTTGAGGTTATTTCTGACAAATGTAACTTAAAAATGGTTAAAAAATAAATGAAATAAAAATAAAAAATGATTTTCAGCAAATGTTCAACATTACATTTTAGTTAAAGGTAGTGAAATTCTCTGTCTTAAAACTGCTTTCATATGCTCATGGAAAGTTAGAACTAGAAGGAACCTATTTCCTTAGGCCCAGCTAGAAGGCCTGCTTTCCAGTGTTTTCTTTTGTTTCAACTATTTTTAAATATAGCACCCTTTGTTCAAACAAAACATCATCTAGAATCAGAGGGGAGAGGGAGAGGTAGAGGGAGAGGGGAGGGAAGGGAGGGAGGGGAGGGGAGGGGGAGGGGGAGGGGGAGGGGGAGAGGGAGCACACACGTGCGCGCACACAGCTGTTGTGTTGCTGAAGCTTGGTGATGGGAGGCCCAGACCTTCCGCCCCCATTAACCCCCATAGCTGCCTTTAAGTGACCCTGTAGGACATGACTGTAAACCACTGGTTTCTTCCAGCCTCAGTTTTACAGATGGAGACACAGAGACACAGAGGTCCAGAGGTTTAGATAACTTGTCCCAGCCCATGATTAAGTGGAGAGTAGGGAATTCCAACTCAGGTTTCTCCCAGAGGTCTTTCCAGAATACCCTGAGATGTAGCCGAGGGTCCAGACCAAAGCAGCCCTAGTCAGCAGAATGCATTGCTTCCTGAGAACAGACAGGTCGGCCTGAGAAATGAAGGCAGCTTGTGAGCTCAGTAAAGGAAACCTGAAGTGACAGGGCAATGCATGTTATAATGGTCAGACAAGCAGGTTAATTCTGCTTCACAAAAAAGGAACCATCTCGAAGGCTAATTACTAACATTTATAACAGACTAGAGGCCCAAAGCAGCTGTGGCTTCATCCCGAAGGTCATCTGAAGGTCATCCAGTCTAGCATATTATGCTTTTATTATTATAGATTCTCTGCCCAGTCACTCCTGCAAAGACAACTTGATACAGTGCAAGAAACATGGTCCTGAGAACAGATAGATTAATATGAATCTTGCTTCTAATACTTTCTTCATCTATGAAACAGGAATAATATTTGTTAAGAAGGTAGTTGTCTGGATTCAATTATTGATTATATATATACATATATATGTACATTAGAACAATAAATACTGACTTCTTCCCACTTTCTTAACAACTTTGTCATAGCATAAAATACAACTATTTTTTTCTAACAATTATATAGAGAAATTGTTTTTCCAGTATGTTTTCAAAAAGAATGTACTACCAAGAGACTAATTGGCACGTTATCTAACAAGATGTTTTTCTTTATTGTTTTCTGTGAAGCCTGCATTATTTCAGGTGGAAAAGCAAACCCCACGATGGGACTAGAGGAGATAAAAATGTAATGGTTTCGAGAGCTGTTATTACTTTGCTCCTTTCTCTAGTAATTTATCTGAACATGGGGAACTGTTTGAGTTCTAAATCCCACAAACCAGATCCAGCAAGACCAGGGAAAGGAAATCTCACACACACACACACACACACACACACACACACACACACACACAGCAGACACATATATACACACACGCTCAAACTCCACAAAAGCCCTTATTCTTCTTCATAGTCTTTTTTTTCATTGCTATAGTTGTCAGTACTGACAAACCAAAATCCAGAGGAAAATCATCTGTAAGGTTTTTCACCTCATCCTTGCTAGTTAGGTACTAGTTTAGATACACTACGGCATCAGTTAGCATCATTCTCACTTGATCCAATAGTGATAAAAATAACTGACATGTAATTACATAACAGTTCCATTGTACTCCCATTACTGTATTGATTCACCATGTAAGATAAAAACAAACCAACTTTGTTATTTACTTAAAATTGTTAAAATTTACCTTATCAGTTTTCAAAGTCACTTATGTAAACATTATACTACACAAGCACAACTTCGCAGCTGGAATGCACCAGAGGCCAATACCCCTTATATTACAGAGTTAACTGAATTCTGCAAATCAAGACTATCAGTGTTGCATTTCCATCTAAGGTAATGACCGAGGAGTGAAAATATAGTACAAGTCCCAAAGGAATTTGTTCTATGTTTAGTCATTCAGGGAATTCATAATGACTAAAATTGACTATATTTCAGAAGATGGCAAAAGTATATTTGAATAATAAGATAATATCAATAATAAATGATAATATAGGCCTGCAAGTTTCAAAGAACTTCATGAATATTTAAAATGCTTATTAATTTATTTCAGACTGATCAGCTTTTCTTCCTTATTACTCTGTTTTTTCACAAAGCATATGGAAATAAGGCTGTCAGAGAAAGACGAGTATCACATGATCTCACTTATATATGGAATCTAAGGAACAAAATAAACTGACAAGAAAAATAGGACCACAGACATGGAAGCATGAAACTGACTGACAATCTCAGAAGGAAGGCGAGGAGGAGGGTGGGAAGAGATGATCAAAGAATTTATATGCATATATGCATAACCCATGGCCACAGACAATAGACAGGTGAAGGCCTGGTGTCCTGTAGGAGCTGGGTGGAGAGGGCAAAGGGGGTAAAATGGAGGACATTTATAATACTCTCAACAATAAAATATTTTTTTTAAAAAAAAAGAGAAAAGCCTTCATGTGATCTGCTCAATATTACATAAGTCAATCAATAGTCATTGATTTATTAACATTTATTATTCATTCATTCATGAACAGATTTATTTATAGGTCACAGAATCACATATTTAAAAAGAGAAATTGAAAGAAAGCATTCAATTTTTTGTTTTCTTAATAACTGGAAGGCATCAGATAATAAATGAAAGAAGAGAGGCAGTATATATTTTGGGGGAAAACCACATTAGGAGCTAAAAATCATTCTGGTTAGGAAAGAATGTCAGGAATCTGCATGTCATATCTTTTTTTATTCCTTTCATTTTAGGACTAAATCCTCAGATAGGCTGGGAAAAGAATGCAACAAAGAGCATTATTTGTATGTCCTTGTAGAATTCACAGTTTTAAAATCCTAAAGCTTCAGATGGTAGTTTCATTATATGACTTGTGCTATAAAGATGTGACTTTTTTTGAAAAACAGATTTTTATTATTACCAAAAGGGAACGAGACTCAATAAACACACATTAGAAATGCCCAGCATATTGAAAGCCAAACCCAATTCTAAGCACCTCTCCTCTACGCATTTTTTTCTTTTTTAGTAATATTAGGGAAATTAAGAAATGTATAAAAAACAAAATTTAAAAACCACAAGAGAAAACTGTGGCTAACATTATGATGTTTCTCCTTCTGGTCTTTGCACTAATTATATTTTACCAAAATCATAATCTTCTTGCATATATATTTTATATCCTGACTTTCTTCACCTAACATTTTATGATTACCAGTTCTGAATTTCATTCAATATATCAAAGAGGTACACAGATTTTGTTATCTTGATTTTTTTTCTGAATTTTAGAAATAATACATGCTAATTTTGATGGGTAAAACAAATTATCTATACTAATAAAAGTGTAATGTGCTAATTGGACCAAACAGCCAAACGACCTTCTGGATGTCGTTCCTGACGAAGCTGTGGAGGCGGGGCTGAGGCAGAGGTGGTTAGGGGCATTCAGGCAATTAGGCAGAGGTGTTAGGGGTGATCAGGCAGGCAGAGGCGGTTAGGGGTGATCAAGCAGGCAGGCGAGTAGTTAGGGGCATCAGGCAGGCAGGAGACTTACATGACATTCCAAGCCCAGGTTTATATTTTACTTAGGTACCCACCTACAGAACAATCACAAGGTCATCAGAGACATTTTTGGCATGAGCTCAGAGTTGCACATATCTGTACACATATGTCTGTGTCTGAATTTTAACATCAAAAATATATATGCCTGCAATGCAAAAGAAAACACAATTTAAGCACAGTACAAAATACATTTTGTTTAAATTGTCTCAAGACTAGTTTATTTGAATACATGCAGGAATGGAGGGTCATCTTGAAAGTGATAAAAGTTAATAGTTTTTTAACTTCATGTGATCATGATTTTTTTATTTTAATTGATCTTTATTGTTGAAAGTATTACAGATGTCCCTTTTTTTTTCTCCACTGACACCCTAATCTGTCCCCACCCTCCACCCCAGGCCTTCACTGCCCTATTGTCTGTGTCCAAGGGTTATGCATATATGCATGCACGTTCTTTGGTTCATCTCTTCCCACCCACCCACCCTGCCTTCCCTCTGAGATTCCACAGTCTGTTCCATACTTCTTTGTCTCTGGATCTATTTTTGAACATAATTTTTAAAAGCATTTTAGTTCCTAAAACAGTAACATAACTTACTTTCAAGTGATGCCAGTCTCTTTTTAAAAAGCTGCCTATGAGGGAAAGACTAAATACCAACACCTTAAAAAACACTCACTCTCATTTAAAGCTTTCCTCTGTGATTAGCATGAGCACTCCGGAGTCCCAATCACAATGCAGATGCACCCCCAGCACCAGAGACTCTGGGCGATAGTCTGTGAAGGCAGAGCATTCCCAAAGTGATCGCTCCCCTTTCACCTCAGTAGGAGTTGACGTGCAATTTTTGACTAAAAGTACCAAACACCAGATGCCAATACCGAAGTAAAATACAACAGTATAATGCAATGTTTCCAACGGAAGATTCCAGAAAGAGTTCTATAACATTTATAACCGTTTACCCAGGGGAAGGTAAAAAGATGAAGGTTTTTGGAGAAAGTTACCAGCATGCCTCTCCTCAGAAGACCGATGGGGCCCTTTGCCACGCACCTCAAGCACAGGTTCAGTGCTTCAAAGAACCACCCAGGAAGTTTGTTTCCTCATTACCCTCTGAGGTTTTTTTATTTTTCAATTACAGTTGACTTTCCTTCTTTTTTATCTATTTTATTGATTTTTTACAGAGAGGAAGGGAAAGGGATAGAGAGTTAGAAACATCGATGAGAGAGAAACATCGATCAGCTGCCTCCTGTACACTTCCCACTGGGGATGTGCCCACAACCTGTACGTGTCCTTGACCGGAATCCAACCCGGGACCCTTCAGTCCACAGGCTGACACTCTATCCACTGAGTCAAACTGGTTAGGGCTACAGTTGACTTTAAACACTATTTTATATTAGTTTCAGGTGTATAGAATGGTTGTTAGACAATTATATAATTTTTGAAGTGACACCCCCATGATAATCCTAGTACCCACCTGACACCATAATAGTTATTACACTATTGACTATATTCCCTATGCTGTACTTTACATCTCCATCACTCTTTTGAGACTACCACTTTGTACTTCTTACTCCCTTTTTTACCCAGCCCCCCAAAACCCCTTTCACCTGGCAACCCTCATTTTGTTCTTTGTATCCATGAGTCTGTTTTTTGGTTCATTTACGTTGTTCTTAAGATTCCACATACAAGTGAAATCATATGGTATTTGTCTTTTCTCTGTCTGGCTTATTTCACTAACATAATACCCTCTCTAGAGGGTACCTTCTGAATTTTAGAATGTAAAGTACGTTCCTTGGACCAGATCTAAGCCACACAAGAGAGAGCTAGCTGACTTGGGCTCTGTTCAAGAATCACCCGCTGGAAAGAAGATATCAGAGAACACAGAAGCAAGGAGTGCACTTCTGAAAAACTCCTACCTTCTGTGGAAGCCAAAATAAAAATGCACTTCTGTGTGTCAAGGGAGCGTTGGGAGAGACATCCCAATAATGAGAAGTCTCCCAAGAAGCACCTGCTAGAAAACGGGCCAGTTTTAAACGCAAGCTGAAACCAGAGGTGCAAACCAACACTCGATCATCAATAGCACCTGCCCAGTAAGAACTTTTTCTCCCCCACCTCTTCCGTTTATGAGCTCTAACCCGTAGTTAGCAAGATGAGGAAGGAGGATGGAGAGAGGGAGAGAGGGGAGGAGAGGAGAAGGGAGGGGAGGGGGAAATCCAGTATTCTCATTTTCTATGGCTCCTTGCATCCAGCACTCAATCTAGGAGAGAGAAGACACATAACTTTAACACAAGATTGAAATTTTGCTTATTACAGGACTTGCAGATTATAAATCACGTGATTAATGTTCTCAATTAGAAGTGATCAGAGAATTGTTTGACTTTAATTAAAGTGACCAGAAAAGTCATGGGAACTCCTTGAATTTTCATTTTCAAAATGATCGGACCCTTTTACCAGCTGCCCTCTTCTTTTATTCTTCCTTGCCCTTGACTTCCAGGCTTCTGTCCTCTTCTTCCTGCTAGAGTTCAATAACAAACACCCACATTATTGAGTACTTACTCTGTGCTAGGCACTCACCTATGTATTGCATGAACATTTCTCTTCATCTTCATGCAACCCTGAAATATTACCACCCCATTTCAGTATGAGGACACTGAGCCTTCTCCATGGTTGCACCATAGGAAGCAGAGGATCTGGGAATTTACCCACGTAGCCTGACTCCACAGTCATCGTCCCCCCAAAGGATGAGTGAAGTGCAATCTCTTAGTTCAAAGGATAAAAAATGTCAGGCTTACTTTCTTTAATTAAACATATGTGGGTCTCCCTTATTTCATGAGAAAGTGGAAACATTCCACTGATGGAGAATTAGTAGAAAAGTCAACACAGCTATTTTTTTATAATCATACAAGCTGCTGACACACGTATTCTAAACTCCTGGGTGATGTCACTGTGTCAACAATCACAAAGCCTCTCCAATCCAGACATAAAACAACAACATCTAAAATTTGTAATGTTTGACCTTTAGAAACTGCATTTTCATATTTTAATCCAACTTTATTCTCACAGGGATCCTCTGGGTGTGCATCATCCGTGCCGTGTTTTTTATGAGGAAACTAAGATTAGAAGCTTTAAAAAACTGTGTTTCACTTAACATCACAAACTAATACATGACAGAGCCAGAACTAAAAGGGGCAGATGTCAAAGGGAAGTTGAAAAATTAACCCATTTTTGTATCAACTTCCAAACCTCTCTGCACCATCAATATTTATATTAATCATGCTTGACCCTTACGCTCCGCATTTTTCCATGCTCCAAGTGCCACGCAAATCCTCTACCATATATTGAAGCCCTCACTTCATCCCAGTGAGATAATTCATGGAGAGTAACAACACACGTGGTTTTCAGATGCAGAGACTGGAGTTTCAAGGGGCCAACAAGTTCGCCTAGTCAATGCAATACAATAATCTTATAGAGTTTTACAAACTTGAGTTGAATTTATTCTTTAATATGGAAAGACATGTCTTTTCTCATGGGAGAGGTTATTCTAGAATTTCAGAGCTGTGCAAACATATTTTCCGTAACCTCGTCATCTGGATTGCCCTTCCCTGAGAAAGCAAAGGTTCATGCAAGCAATTAGTTCTGCTGATTATGTCCCAGGCTTTCTCTTTGTTCTTTTTTGGAATTCTAAGAGGTAAAATATTTTATCTCTCTATTCTTCCTTTCCTTATGAGCAAACACTCATCAACATGCCCGCTCTCCAACCCCTGTATTTTTCATACCCTCCCTGGCCACAGCACTAACAGTTCATTAGCACAATGGTTCTCAGACTTTAGCATTCCTCAGAATCATCTGGAATCATCTTGTTAAAACGCAGATTGCTAACCCCCCCCCCCCCACCGCCCCATCCCCCGGGGTTTCTGATTCAGTCCGTCTGGAGCGGGGAAGGATAGCTGGCATTTCTAACAAATGTCCAGGGGATGCTGCTGCCGAGCTGGTCTGGGGACCGCACTTCGGGGACCACGGGACTGTACTTCCCCCACATGTTCCCCGTCCCCACAGAAAAGCTTCCAGCAGCTAAGGTTCATGAGCACAAACGGTGCTCAGTGCCTTGGCCGCACACTAAGGCTTCTATCTGGAGGGGAAAGAATGGTTGGCCTGACTCACGGTCTTTTCAAGCTTTGCCAGCCACAAAATTAAAAACAGAAAAGGGCTGCAGTGAGAGCAAAATGGAAACAGCCACAGTGACACTGTCCACATGGTGAGCCTTACAGCATGACTTCTGGAGTCAGGACAAGAGATATCGGGATGGTTCAGGTGCCTGTAGGTGGAGCGCGCTAGGAGCGGGCACCACAGGCCTCACAGGAAACCGGGGCTCCTGTCCGGACCCCAGGAGCCAGTCGGATGCTTGGCTCCCAGTTTTCTTCAACTGTCGACAGTACGTTCTTCCACTGACTTCTCCAAACACACATCGACCTAAAACGCTTTGGATGAACTAACTTCTTCCACAACTTCTCTACTGTTTCTTTTAAGCCAATAAGCAAATACCGTTGGAGCATCAGGCAGGTAGACAGAGAATCTGGAGAGAGACACTGGCAAAGGACTGTCCTTCCAGCTCCTTTATTTTTATAACCATCGCCTCTAGACAACTCTCAAAGGAGACTTGAATCCCATTTTTCATCTCCTTGAAAAAAGGAAGGCATTTTAATGTAGTGGTATAAAGTACTTCAGTATTCTAGTTTATCAAAAGTGTGACTAGTATTTTAAATAAAACAGATTAAATAACAAAATGAAACTGACAAGAAATATTATTATAAGACACCGCATTTCTGCTTAGAAAATAAGCTACTAATTCTACCTTTATTTAATTTAGCAATATTTTGCAGAAACTACTGACCTTTATTCTGATCACCGTGAGTCCATTAAATTTCAAGATATGGGCCAGCCAGTGAATAATATGCTCCTAAGTAATAAACCCATACCATCCAATGCACTTTTTCTGCCCTCGTCCAAAGAAAAGAAGAGAGATGCATAATGGTAAGGTCCCTGAATGCACCAGTTTTGAAGGAAGGAAGCCACTCGGTAGGAGCATGAGTCACCAGAACTACTTCCTTAGTGATAAAAGTTGCCTAAGTAACCTAGATGCCTGGGCAGTCTGCTGGGTTTCAAACCACTAGTCATTTCCGTTACTTAATTGCTAACTGTTCTTCCCCACTGCAGTTTGGAGCCTGTGTTTTATGTAGTAACCCAGCAACTAGTTGTTTTGTTATATTTTATCAAGGACAACAGAACAGGAAATTTTACATTTCCATGGATTTCAGAGTAAAAGTCGGTGTTATTTCATTCTAACTTTAAGGGGGGATAATTACGTTACTCACACTAGGTCTCCCTGCGGTAGAATGATTATGTAAGGCTTGGAGACAAAATGATTTAACGGAGAAGGGAGAAGTAGACCAGATGCCCTCTGAGCCAAAGGAAGGTGCTGGATTCATTTCTGGGTCCTTAGCACCCAGCAGAGAACCAGGCACACACTAGGACTCCAAATACATTGGCTGAAGGGGGTCACTAATTCTCCGCAGAATAATCCAATCTGTTAAGTAATTGTGCCACTACCGAGTTAGGATTTCATCAGGCTGTTTAACACTTTCATGCATTCTTTTACCCTTGAATCTACAAAGAACTGTCATATTTGTTACTCTTGCCCTTATACACATGTGAAGCACTCTCCCCTCCTTTAATCCTTACCAAAGATATGTTCCTATTGATTTAAGACAGAGAGAAGAGAGAGGAGAGAGAGAGAGAGAGAGAGAGAGAGAGAGAGAGAGAGAGAGAGAGAGAGAGACATTGACTAGCTGCCTCTGTAGGCACCCTGACCAGGGATGGAACCCACAACCTGCATATGTGCCCTCACCAGGAATCGAACCTGCCGGATGACACTCCAACCAACGGAGCCACATTGGCGTGGGCTCATGTAAAGTACTTTAAAGTATTTTAAATAGAATTGGTGTTCATGAGCATTACTTGGGAACAATCTTAAGTGTATTGACAATAAGATTACTATGGTGCAAGAAATTTTAAAAGCTGGATAGCAAGCTCATATGTGTTATCAGTAATGTTCCTTTAGCTTTGCCGTGAGAATCTTGGTTTTCCTGTAATTCACTGGACTTCTCATTTCACACAACTCTCTCATGATTCTTGAACAGTACAATATTAGTACCCCGCATGTTAATAAATCTCCCTAAAATTCAAACTAATGGCGAGTAAGTATGAGTTAGAGGTACAGTTAGGGTTATGTGTTCCAAACATGTGGGCAGTTTATTTCTTTTCCACTAGCAAATGTGGCTAAGGGTTTTTATCCACTTAATTGTATGCAGGAGTCATATGTCATATATATCAAATCATTCTGGTGGTTGAGTCAGAATTAAGAAATGAGATCTCCATAGAAAACCCCTAAAACTGTCCAGAAATGTCTTGATGATTCATTAAGGACATCATATTCTCTGAATTCAGAGGGGTCCTATTGCAACAGAACAGGAGAAAAAGAAGTCCAAAGAGATAAACTGACACTCTGATAAGAATGCCAAAGAGACCTGAGGATGTCACCAACAGCGGTACAACAACACCATGGCATGTGAGGTGCCACAGTACAGTGACGTTACAGTGCAGAGTCTAGAACCTTAAGTCCTGGGTTCAAATCCCAGGTCTGCCACTTCCTGGCTGTGTGAGCCTAAGTGAGTTACTTACTTTCTCTGAGGTAACTTACTATTACTTACTTTCTTCATATGTCTAATAGGGCTGTTGTGAGGATTAAATAAGTTAGCGCATGCTAAGTAAGTTAACACTTGGCATACAGCAGGGGCTCAGTAATGCCAGTAATCATTATGATTACCATTAGCTTTCCTACCTGGGCCAGACTTCGATTCTAGTAATGACATCACAGCATGCCTAGTTATCATGGACATGAAACTAACCCAGTGTTAGCAAAAGAAAAACCCTGATCTAGACATGCAAGGATCTCTGCACTGGGTGGTCCTCACACATGTCTTAACTACTAAAGTTCTAGCCATGGCAGAGAGATAGATTACAATATTGTATCAGAATAATGTTTCATAATTTATGCTATGAAAAAAAATGTACTGAGTCTACATTAAATTCAAGTTCCCTGATATATTTTGCAGTTATTCCACATTTCCATGAGTCACTTTAGAGAGCATATTTCAGTACTTAGCTAATTAGAAATACAAAACCTTACACAATAGTTTAGAAACCACTGCAATAGATTATGAAGAGGGCTGTCAATCCCTTTATTCTGCTAAGGTTTACTCAGAATGGCTTTTCTTTACTTATTTCTTATGATTTTAATACATCTCGATTATATTTTGCCTTGCATAGTTTCATCATTATGCCATCTTATATAATTTTCACAATAGTACCTGGGATCCACAAGGACAAGCACACCAATACAGGAGACTTACATGACATTCCCAGTCCATATTCACATTTTACTGAGGCACCCACCTCCAGAACTATCACACGGCCAGTAGGGATGTTTTAGGCATGAGCTCAGAGTTGCATTGCTCTGTCTGTACACATATGTCTGTGTCTGAATTTTCACATTTAAAAAGTTATGCCTGCAATGCAAAAGCAAAGATAATTTAAACACAATACATAATATATTTCATTTAATTTGTCTCAAGTCTAGTATACGTGAATACAGACGGGAATCCAGGATTAGTTTACCAACTGATAAAAGCTAACACTTTTTTTAAACACTTGATGTGAACATCATTTTAAAACACATTTTAGCTCCCAAAGCCATAACATAAATTAGTCCCAAGATATATGTCAGTTGCTTTAAAAAAAAAAAAAAAAGCTTCCTACAAAGAAAAGACTAAATATCCATATCTAAAAAGCCACTCACGCACGCTTAGAGCTCTCCTCTGCAATGGGCATGGGATTTTTGCCCTCCATGCGCCATCACACGGTGTCGCTCTGATTTATGTGTTGATGGTTCTTCTCATGCGTGGCCTTTGGATGTTCACGTCTAAGCTCTCCGGTGACCTCCGCCAGCCTACATGGAGACCGAAGTTCGGGGGGTATATTTTAAACTGCGAATTTACCGAACATATTTAAAAGTAAATTAAATATTCAAGATTCTAACGAATGTCATTTCACTGGCTAAATGAATGTGGTATGCCAGAACGAAAGCGCCCCCAAAGTGTTGGGAAGATCGGTCCATTCATTACTCAGTTTTGCGATAAGTGAGACGGACTTCTTTCATTTTTCCCAAACTCACAGGAAAGAGATTTGGGCTATACACATAACGATATTTCCTTTCTAACCTCACAGGTTGTCATAAATACAAACCAGAAATTAGTTTTTAATTTGTTCCGTTCTTTAAAAGAAACCTGTGCTATTAAACCGTTATTATCATTAGACCCATTACCCAAATATCTCCTGAAGAAAACTTCCACCACTTGGGAACCAGATGATGACAACAAATAGGCAGAGCAAATTTCCAGGATGCCGAAGCACTTGGCAAAATGTCTCCAGTAACAGGACCTTCCCCTTTGTCCTAAAAAATGGCAAAAACATTAAAGGTCAAAGGTCAGGTACCTGCATGCTTTCTGTGGTAGTCTCACTAAACTGTGATGGTATTGGTTAGGTCTCTTTCAAATAAGGTCCAGTTTTTATAACTGGTTTGTGTTTGTTTGGATCAGGTGAACCAACATTGAAAATGGAGCTTCATGTCTTGGGCTAATATTGACTTGACTTTTTTTTTTTTTTTTGGCACTAGGTTTTCCCTCTATGTGTTAATTGACATCTTTTGTTCCTTCTACAAATTTTTACCTTCTTTTTCCTTATTCATAAACTGTTCATTAGACTTGATGAAATTATAAACTACACATAGTTCAATGGGAAATTCTAACCTTTTTTTTTTCCCCAAGAAAAAGATTCAAAGAGATTTCTAGGAGTTTGTCTTTAAGCTTCTTTTTCTCTGAACTTTAGAAAATTTAGAGGAAACTGAAGTGCCTGATTTGTCATTACCTGTGGAGACCAGACCAACACACTCACACCAGGTAAGGAACAATATAAGGCAATCGACACTCATTTATGTCAACAGACTAGAGCTGCTGTAAAGGGTAAAACTGCATTATTCAGCTTTTACCCACCTTTCCCATAAAGTTGGGCTTTATATAGACTAGAGAAGGGAAGACACTTCCAGGTAAAGGGATTTCAATGAATTATCTTTCACTTCAAATTAATTTCCCACCGACATTGTTTTTGTGTCTAATGCGTCCATTCGCTCAGAGCCCTGTGACTTGCCTGTCCTCTCTGGCTTCACAGCCTTCATCGTCATTGTATCCCCAAGGTCACCTCCTTTTTACCATTCACCTGATCTACTGCAAACAGCCATCTAATTGGCCTCCCCCGCTCCTCCTCCAGCATGCCAGCACCATCGTCCTCAAATGCAGCTACAGGCATGCCTTTCTCTTAGTCACAAAGGCAGTGAATTCCCACTGCCCACCACATCAATTATACACTCCTCTCTCTGGCATTTTGTCCTCCAATGCATGGTCCCATGTTAGCGTTCAATGCCCTCTCTCCCCTACAACTGCTCCATCGTCCAGCCACCCTGGGATTCTTGCTACTGCCGGAATGTGGCCGGAACTCTGTCATCTATGCAATCTTTGGGTATGCTGTCTCACCTGTCTTAAACATCCTTTCTCTACCATGGTAAGCTGTAAAAATCATACTCATGCCCCCAAATACCACCTCTTCAAACTACATTTTCTAATCTCCCTCAAATGGACAGGATCATGTCTCCATCAAAACCCTCCCATATTTCCCTCATGTCTCCATCAGGTCTCTCACTCACCACGTCCTGCTGGGTATGACAGCACTGCTCGGGGTTCCTAACCCTTTCACAAGCATAGGAGCTCCCAGAGGCATGCAAAGTGCATATACTGAGAAGCATGGCAGGCAGTGCAGAAAACGGGAAACACCTACCTGTTGAATGGAATGTGAGGAAGGACCTGAGGCGGGGAAAATGTGGTGTGTTCGTGGAGCAGAGAGAAGCGTAGGGCCCCCCTGAAATTGCTGTCTGGTGGGCAGCAGTGGCAATAAGGATGGACGTGTTACCTAGCACGGCTTTCAAAGGCCACAGTTGAGCTATGCTCTTCAGCCTCCAGCTGCAGCAAAGTCTCTGGTTCCTTCATCATCTTTATTGCAAATTGTAGCTACTTTGCTCTTTTACTTGAGTATTGTCTCTGAGCCACACATTCCAAGAGTGCATGCATTAAGCCTGCCTTGTTGATCTTTCCCAGTGTCTAGCAGAGTGACTGGCATGTGTCAATATTCAATAAATGCGTTTTGAGTAAGTTAATAAAATTTGTGGATCATAAGAGCCTGTAAAGATGAAATCAAGTCACATGTAAAGTAACTAGCACAATGCTTGAACATAATAAGCACTAGAAAATATTAGTGGCCTCCCTCCCTTTCTCCCTCCTCCCTCCCTCTTTTCTTCCCTCCCTCCCTTCCTCTCTGACTACTCCTGCATCAGTCCCTACATTAAAAACAGCGTATCAGGTTTCTCTCTAGGCACTGAAAATAGGATAGTGAACAAAAGAGAGAAAAAAACCCTGCCCTCAGGGAGCTTAATGAGGGAATGAGTGGTTCACTTCGGATCTCCAGGGGATCCGACGAATGCAGTTATTAAGAAAAGGGGATGGTGGTTTGGCTCAGTGGATAGAGTATCGGCCTGTGAACTGAAGGGTCCCGGGTTTGATTCTGGTGCCCGGGTTGCGGGCTTGGTCCCCAGTAGGGAGCG